GCGCCAAGATGAAGAGCCTTCTCTCTATTCGGCCATGCATCATCTCCCATCAAATTTGGCGCCAACATGAAGGGACACTAGAGCTATTCGGCCAAGGGTTATCACCCTCCATTTAAACTGAAACATCATCTCTATTTTGTAATTAATTATGTCACTATAGGAAGGCACAAGGCTGGCCGAATCCCCTTGTAACCATTCGGTCATGCCTCTCCATTTCCTATAAAAAAGGAAAGCATATTTCATTTGTAATCAGACCATTTTGATTAATATAAGTGAGATTATTCTCTTCCTTAAGTCCTGGTGACTTTTATCGACTTATCAAGTATTATTTTATACTTGTGGCGTCAACCCCTTTTCTTTTCACCTTGATACTTCTGGTTCCTAGTTCTTATAACTAGTGGGTCAAAGTCCTTAACACCACCCCTTGAAGAACCAATATAAAGTCTGGGTCGTTGCTCTCTATAGCACTGGTTCTTCTTTGAGACTTCTTCAAGATATTATCCTCACTACCATCCCTTTGTTTCATAGCCATAACCCATAGTCATTTCAATCATCTTCCGCTTCCATCTCTCATTTAAACAGCCCACCTATTCACCCATACGTTTATATCACCCTTAACCATCTCTTTTTGAGCCATTCACTTGTGTAGGTTGTTTGCTTCCTTCCTAGATCCACAATCAATTTGTTAAGATACAAGTGCCTTACATCAAAACTGTTAGCTGATGGTGCGGATTGCGCACACATAGGAGGGAACAAAGCTAAACCTATCAAACAAAAAGTTAATGAACCGATCATCGGTAAATTTGTCAAATGGCAACTAATCTGCGATCACAAGATGCTCAAGTTAATGTTTGCAATGCAATGGGAATACTTATTATGCAAATTTCAACATTACGCATTTGAAGTTAAACTTTTATTGATATATCTTCTCATCTCGGCCCCTCCCTTCCCTTGAACCATGGATTTTTTTTATTATTAAACAAAAATAATTTTATTTTAAAATATTATCATAGTTATGTGATGTAAATTCTCTTTGTTTGATCCAAGATAATTAAAAGAATTTACTGAAAATAGATGAACAAAGGAAAGTATTTTCCAAAACATATTTTAAAACCAAATATCTACATAATATAATTGCTTAAAAATTAATACAATAAATATAAAATTAACTTAATATATATTAGGAAGACTCTTAACTTACCGTAGTAATAGAGCTAAGAAAAAAATAGAAGTTACCTATGATTACGACTATGACAACTAACAATAAATTTACACATTTACTACCCGCTAATGAGCGAGTAAACATTCGACTTAAATTATCGTTAATTTTTTAATAAAAATTTGTAAGTTTGAAATATATGAATAATTGAGTGACTATCTTATAATTTTTAATAATTGAAGACTTAACAAAATATTATCTTATAATTAAGAGATCATTTTATAACTTTTTAATAGTTATATAACTTAACAAAACATTGCCTCATTGATGTACTTTATCCATAATTAAATAACTTAATAGATAAAATTAAAAGATAAAATAATTAAATTACAATTTTTATAATTAAGTAATTAATAATGTAGTTTAAGAAAATTTGAAATGAATGCTGTGGTGTTAGTCTAGAACATTCCATATCTTACCAGGAAAAAAATCTTAAAATACGGCATATTTCTTAAAATCTTTTCGATACAAAACCCTAAACCCTAGAAACGTCTTTCTCCTCGCATTTCAATATCAGCTTCACGAAGAACTTAGAATAGATCCTCCCCGGCTCTCGGTTAGTTATAGCCATGGCTACGGCAGCTTTGCTCCGTTCATTTCGACGCCGTGATGCCGTCTCTGCGCCTCTCTCCGTTTATTGATGCGTAAGTTTCTAATCCTTTTCTGTTCGCTTTGGAACTTTTCATGTTCGGTTTAGGTGATTTGTTTGATTCATCTGTATTACCTGGTGTTATATATTCTGTTTGGCTTTCGGTAAAGTTGAGGGAATAGGGAATTTAGCCTGATATTTTTAGTTGTTGTATCTTATGATATGATATGAAGGATACTAAAAACAACCATTTTTTCCCAGTAGTTTTAAGTGGACATGTTTTGATTTCTGGATTGTCTCTTATAACGTGAGCTTTGTTCTCCAACTAGAGTCAAAGACGATTATGTGTGAGATTCAGCTATTTTGTGAATGATTATTGCAGTTAGTTTGTTCAGTACAAGAATAGGATTCCCATCTGAATGAAATGCAATGAGATGATGCCTATGCTTAATTTGTTGTTGTGCAGCTTACTAGCAATGGCAAGTCCTCAGTAGGAATTAATTGGAGATGTTTTTCGAGAGCTTTCAGGTAAGGTTGATTTGATATATTCTCATTATTGTTTATTTGTAGTAAATTTGTTATTTGCTCAATGTAACTTTCTTGTTATTCCTTTGAAGCAGTTCAAAACATGTTGGTAATGATGTCATTTGGTATTGATTTGAGGACAACCAACTCTTGTGTTGCTGTCATGGAGGGGAAGGTAAGAATTAAACTAGTGTGACTGATAGGCTTAATGATTTCGTTGTTAGCTTTGGACAGTGAAGTCATTCTGTGATTATATCTGATTGAGTCTGTTATTGTATTCAGAATCCCAAGGATATTAAGAACTCTGAAGGTGCAAGGACCACACCGTCTGTTGTTGCCTTCAACCAAAAGGGAGAGTTACATGTTGGCACCCCTGCAAAACGTTAGGCAGTGACCAATCCAACTAATACACTATTTGGTACCAAGCGTCTGATTGGTAGATGATATGATGATCCCCAGACAGCAAAAGAAATGGGAATGGTTCCTTTCAAGATTGTGAAGGCTCCCAATGGAGATGCCTGGGTCGAAGCAAATGGGCAGCAATATTCTCCTAGTCAAGTTGGGGCATTTATTTTGACCAAGATGAAGGAAACTGCCGAGGCTTACCTGGGAAAGAGTGTTTCTAATGCTGTTATCACTGTTCCAGCTTAATTCAATGATGCTCAGAGACAAGCGCAACTAAGGATGCTGGTAGAATTGCAGGCCTTGATGTTCAGAGAATAATCAACGAGCCTACAGCAGCTGCCCTTTCATATGGAATGAACAACAAGGAGGGTCTCATTGCAATCGTCGATCTTTGTGGTGGAACATTTGATATTTCAATTTTGGAGATCTCTAATGGTGTCTTTGAGGTACACATATTTTTCTATTCTAAGAGGGTTTGTTTTCAGTATGCTTAGGCTAATTATATTAATATATCTCTTATCCAGGTCAAAGCAACAAATGGTTATACTTTCTTGGGAGGTGAAGACTTCGACAATACCTTGCTGGATTTCTTGGTGAGCGAATTCAAGAAAACCGAGGGAATTGATCTTTCAAGGGATATACTTACTCTCCAGAGGCTTCAGGAAGCGGCTGAGAAGACTAAAATTGAACTCTCATCTGCATCACAGACTGAAATCAACCAGCCATTTATAACAGCTGATGCATCCGGGGCAAAACACTTGAATATCACATTGACCAGATCAAAGTTAGAGTCTTTGGTAAATCACTTGATTGAGAGGACCAAGGCTCCATGTAAGAATTGTTTGATGAGGTTCTGTTGGAGGGATGACTCGTGTTTCAAAAGTTCAAGAAGTTGTCAGGCATCTTTGGGAGGAGTCCGAGCAAAGGTGTCAATCCTGAGCAGTTGCTATGGGAGCTGCGATTCAGGGTGGCATACATCGAGGTGATGTTAAAGAGTTGTTTCTGCTTGATGTCACTCTTTCATTTGGTATCAAGACACTTGGCGGTATATTCACAAGGCTAATCAACCGGAACACAACCATTCCCACCAAGAGAAGTCAGGTTTGCCTTCTGTGCAATTGTTTGCATTTTTCTTAGACATTTTATATGTATTAGTCGTTGAGACATGATAAGTAGTTTGCTGTTTTTTATGCAACTACAGTCTAATTGCTTCCTGATTTATTGTTTACAAATGTTATCCTTTTTTTTCCGTATTTGATGGGGTTCCTTTTTTTCAGGTGTTCTCCACTGCAGCTGATAACCAGACTCAAGTAAGCATTAAGGTACTTCAAGGTGAGCGTTAAATGGCTGCCAACAATAAGATGTTGGGTGAGTTCGACTTGGTCGGCATTCCACCTGCTCCTAGTGGCATGCCACATATTGAAGTGACTTTTGACATTGATGCCAATGGTATTGTGACCGTCTCTGCCAAGGATAAGGCCACCGGGAAAGAACAGCAGATTACCATCCGGTCGTCTCTGCCGAGTTGCATGCTCAGAAGGACCAACAAAGAAAAGCTTTGATCGATATCAAAAACAATGCAGACACTACCATCTATAGTGTGGAGAAAGCTTGAACGAGTACAGAGACAAAGTTCCTAGTGAAGTTGGAAAAGCAATAGAGGATGCTGTCGCCAATTTGAGTAAGGCAATGGAAGGAGAGAGAATGTGGAGGATATTAAAGCCAAAATCGATGCAGCAAACAAGGCAGTCTCAAAGATCAGGGAACACATGTCTGGTGGTTCTTGTGGTGCCCAAGGTGGTTCTTCCGGAGGTGCTCAGGGTGGTGAGCAGGCGCAAGAGGCAGGGAGGTGAAAAAGTGAGTGATTAGGCAATGATTCGCTTAGTTGTTTCCCCTTATTCTTCGAACGATAAAAGCAGTTTTGTATCTAAATGAACAAAAAGGTTGAATGTAGGCTAGAATAATGAGGTTCACTGCTTTTTCCGAGTTTATTCATTAAACAAATATATATCTGCAAGTGAATCGTGGATATGAGTTTGAAGTGTGTTGGGTTGAAGCTTCGTGGTTCCAGCAACTGGGTCCCCACAACATCATTTCTGGCTAATTCCAGCACTGTAGATTCTCCACCCCTTTTTTGTTTGTTTTATACTACATAAAATATCACTGATAATAAACGGTAGTGCCACCCAATACTTGGGGGAAATGATTCCATCTTGTTTTCAAACGTGTCTTCCCATACGTACATTATAAGAAACTTGCATATACAACAAAAACTAAGTTCTGCATATAACATATATATCTGAATCATCACTTCGAATAGGGCTTCCAAATCCCATACTGGCAGTCAGTTTTCATCAACGTCGTCTCTTAAGCAAAGGCAGATGACAAGAGATGCTAACCTTCTCTAGACACGGCAATGGTTAACCCGGAACCGAGCGCATGCATTGGAATCACACTTTTGCTTTATTAGGTGGTTGCTCCAATATATGTAATGTTCACAAGCCAAGGCTGTTGCCGCCTCTCAGCGTATGACCCCAAAGAGGCTGACGCCGGTATTCCAGTCTGTTTCCATATACCACGCTTGCATGCCACCAACCAATAAACAAAAGATAGGATGGTAGATGCCTCGGAGAAAAAATTGAGTACCAGGGTTCCAACCCCATCTCAAGCACCGGATTTCCCCAAAACCACACCTCACAAGGTTCGGAAATGAATAACCAATCCTTCAATCCGAGCTTTTAAGACTGTCTGTCATCTGCATCGTAATCACTTCCTGAAGAAGACCCAGAATCCGAATCTGCAAATGATAACCTATCAAGATAAGAATTTCTTCCCGCAGTTCTTTTGGCTTGTTATTTTTTTCAGAAACCATCATTCTGATATTCGAAAGAGGGTTGAGTAATACCACTTGAAGATGATGAACCACTGCTCGAGCTGCTGGGGTCACTAGAACTGCTACTAGCACGATCGTTGTCCTTCTCAATCTCGACGGGTGGGAAACTACTCATTAGCATTTCATCCCCAATATCTACATCTTCCTCGCCAGCATCCGCTTTCTTGGGTTTCTTCATCTCCACTGGAGCTTCAATTTTCTTCATAGTTATCTCCCCCTGTATTTTCCACCATTTTTCGGTCAGACAAAACATAATATCCAAACATTAATGCAATGAAGTAAACAAATTATCAACCATTCATCAAGCAATCAAATATGTGTTTACCCTATCGGTGCCATTAGATACCACATTGTTCGCCAACAATGCTTGCCGCCTTATCTTGCTGGCCATCTTCTTGTAATTAGTGACGAATCGATCCAACTCCCACAGTGTTTCAGTATCCATTGCCTCGATATCAAGTTCAATCTCATCCCCATCCTGGCTCAAATGCCCATTCCTCTTCCTTATAATCTGAACCACGTTATCCATCTTCTCTTGCGGCAAGCTCTGCAATCCCATTCCCAACCTATGCTTCTCTTGCCATCTTCTCTTGCGGCAACCTATGCTTCGGAAACTTAGCTTTGCGGGCATATTGCAGCTGATTCGTTCAGTCCTATATGGTATTTACAATTTTTGGCGAAGGCAACTTGTGTTGCCGAAGGTGGTGGTGGAGCGAGTTAACCAGCTTTGTATGAGGTATTTTTGGAAGGGTAGTGATGTGGCTGGTTCGGGGGCGAGAGTAGGATGGAGTCAGGTTTGCACTCCTAAATCTGAAGGCGGGTTGGGGTTGTTGAATTTAGTGGGTTGGAATAAGGTGTGCCTGGTTCAATTGCTGAGGAAGCTGTTTGAGGATGAGGGGTCATTGTGGGTTGCTTGGGTTCGTACGTATATCGTCAAGGACGTTAATTTATGGAGTTTTGTGTCGAAAGGGATGGTGAGTTGGAGCTTGAGGAGGATCTTTGCTTTGAGGGAGGAGGTAGTTCGGGTCTTTGGTTTGGTGAGGTTCCAAGGAGTTACTCGAGCTCGTGAGATTTGGGAGGAAATGAGAACGTGGGGGCAGAAGGTTGCTTGGAAAAGACTTGTGTGGTTCCCGCTGCATGTTCTGAGGCACGCAATCATAGTGTGGATGGCTACATGTTGCCGATGCATGATCGCTTGGTACGCATGGGGGTTTTGGTCCGGAGAGAGTGAGTGATGTGTGGGGAGGAGAGTGAATCTCACACCACCTATTTTTTGGTTGTTCCTTCTCGATGGATGTTTGGAGTGTGATACTTGGCAGGTGTGGGATATTCAGCCCTTTTTTGGGTTGGGATCGGAAGGTAGAATGGACATGTGCGAATGCAAGAGGTAAGTCGTTTTGTGCCATGATCTTTAAACTTGCTTGGACTGCATTCTTATATTTTGTTTGGGAGGAACGTAATAGGGGTTTTTTCAGAATCTACAATTGTCTAGAAATGGTATTCTTTGTTTTACTGCCGAGATTGTACAGGTAAAGATTAATAGTATTTGTAAAGATAGGCAGGTTCTCCAAGTGTGTAGTGCTTGGGGAGTTTGTTCTCGAGTATCTAGTTTTGATAGGTGATTGTATTGGTTTTCTTTAGATATAATACATACATTTTATCCAAGAAAAAAAAAATTCTGTAGCAACTTTTTCTTCTTGAAAAATGAGAAAACTCATAGAAGCATTGTTTTTGTTGTTGTTGTTGTTGTAACGGCTTAAGGCTTTATCATTTTTATCATCCCAACTATGCCGGAGATGGTTTATGAATCCGATGCATACGTATTGGACAACGCGATCCAACTCACCGGTTCAAATGGAGACGTTGACGGTGTTGGTCGAGCCACTTATTACAAACCAATGCACCTTTGGGACAACTCATCTTGGTATCTCACACTTGCATATTTCACCACTCATTTCTCATTCTCCATCGATTCCTCCTCCCAAGGCGGCATGTCTGGTGACGGGCTCACGTTTTTCCTCGCTCCCAATGGCTCAAAATCCCCCCCGACTCCGGAGGCGGTTGCTTGGGACTTCAAAGTTGCTACCCGGAGTCAGGCATCAACGGCTCTAGTTTTGTTGCGGTGGAGTTTGATACGTCCGGGATCTCAGATCACGTCGGTATTGATATCAACAATGTCACAACTTCCCTCAAGGCCGTCCAGTGGCGGTGGAATGACGTTGAAGATGGGGGACAGGTTTATGCTTTCATCAGCTACAACTTTAGTACGAAGAACCTGAGTGTTCATTTACTTGATGCTGATGATTCTACTGCTCATATTCACTTACTCTCTCCACAACACTGGATCTTAGCCTATATTTAACCGAATGGGTCACTTTTGGCTTCTCAGGATCCGCCGCGGCCACCGGAGAAGATTCGAACGAGATGCACTCTATTTATTCCTGGAATTTCAGCTCAAGCTTACAAGTTTCCAGGCCCTTACCAATCCTCCTCCAACAGAAGCACCTGCAGCGGCAAAAATCCCAAGAAGGAAGAGCAGGTCATGGCTATGGGTAGTTCTAGCCATTGCTGGTGCCATTTCTGCTTTGATCCCAGGTCTCGGTTCGGTTTGGTTTTTCTGCAGGAGAAGGAAGTACATCAGCAGGGAAGATGGGGCCATTTCTGTCAATGTAGAAATGGAAATGGTGACCGCACCTAGGCAGTTTTCCTACAAGAAACTAAGACTTGCAACCGGTAATTTTTCCGACGAAGGTTTGCTCGGGAGGGCGGTTTCGGGAAGGTTTATTTAGGCTTCTTGATGGATATGAATTGCAATGTTGCTGTCAAAAGAATTACCCCGGATTCTCGACAAGGTGTGAAAGAGTACGTATCGGAAGTTAAAATTATTAGCATGGTTGCGACACAGAAATTTGGCCCAACTCATTGGTTGGTGCCATGACAATAACGAATTCCTCATCGTGTACGAGTTCCTTCCCAATAAGAGCCTCGATTACCATCTACACAGAGAGCCATGCTTGTTGACATGGGATAAAAGGTACAAAATCGCTATGGGATTGGCCTCGGCGTTGTTGTATCTGCAGGAAGAATGTGACCAGTGCGTGCTGCATCGAGACATCAAGTCAAGTAATGTTCTGTTGGATTTGAGTTTCAACGCCAAGCTCGGTGACTTTGGGCTGGCTAGGCTTGTTGAACATGGACAAGGGTCTCGAACAACTAAATTTATGCTCGGAACTGACGGTTATATCGCCCCCGAGTGTCTCGACACACACAGAGCCGTCAAGGAATCCGACATATACAGCTTTGGTATCGTCATCTTAGAGATAGCCTCTGGGAAGAAGGCCATTGCTGCACACGAAAGGCGTAGCAAGAAAAGCAGGACAAAACTGGTGGAATGGGTTTGGGAACTGTATGGGAAAGAGAGTCTTGTAGATGTTGCAGACCAACGCTTGTATGGCAATTACGACATGGAACAAATGGAACGGTTGCTCTTAGTCGGGCTGGCTTGTGCTCATCCAGGCTATTTCGCCCGCCCGTCGATAACGCAGGTTATCGACATACTCGGTTTCAAAGCTCCATGCCCCATGATATGGCTTGTATGGCAAGCACATTTTCATCAATAAATGGAGTACTCTTTAACACCTTTATATTGAAATTACTATATATTAGTTATATACTACCTTTTATAATACAATTCATGATAAGTATTCTTGTTATGAAGTTAAAGAATAACTTAGTATGAACACAACATGCACATTGATATTTAAGCATATTAGGATATTTTTATCATATTAAACATGTTTACCTTATATACATCAAGGCAACATCATTATAATTCATTTTATTAGTTCATATGCATTCATATTAGTTCTTAAGCTTCATGCATTATCTTACACATATTATGAGATGATATATTTAGCTCATGACCTTCAATCAAAGCTCACATTACCATATTCTTACATGACAGCAAGGTATTTAGCTCATAACAGCTCCATACCATGGACTTACCTTGTTTCCTTGCACATATAGGTACATTGGAGTGTGATGCACGATGAGGTAGCTTGGTGGATGATTTGGACGTCTTATGCAGCTCACAAACAGCTCACAAAGTAAAAGGCAGCTCATGGAACACTAAGGAAAGCTCAATTCAGCTGGAGGAGCTAAAAATAGCTAAACTCATCTAGTTGAACTATTTGGAGCTGAGTTGTCAAAAATGATGTCAATGGTAGCTGAATATAGCTGAACGTGTTGTTATGAAGCTCACAAGGATTCGGCTAAGAAGCTTGTTCATAAACAGCCAATGCTTGCTAGTTAAGCTCCACACTCAAGCTAGCTTGGAAGGAGACACATGCACGCCCATGATGGAGCACATGACCAACCATCATTCAATGCACAAGGTTGTACCACAAGGTTCCCTAGAACACCCATGTGCATGCCATATGACCAGCCCCCATGTGCCTTGCATATGGACTTATTTAGGCGCCAAGATGAAGAGCCTTCTCTCTATTCGGCCATGCATCATCTCCCATCAAATTTGGCGCCAACATGAAGGGACACTAGAGCTATTCGGCCAAAGGTTATCACCCTTCATTTAAACTGAAACATCATCTCTATTTTGTAATTAATTATGTCACTATAGGAAGGCACAAGGCTGTCTGAATCCCCTTGTAACCATTCGGCCATGTCTCTCCATTTCCTATAAATAGGAAAGCATATTTCATTTGTAATCAGACCATTTTGATTAATATAAGTGAGATCATTCTCTTCCTTAAGTCCTTGTGACTTTTATCGACTTATCAAGTATTATTTTATACTTGTGGCGTTAACCCCCTTTTCTTTTCACCTTGATACTTCTGGTTCCTAGTTCTTATAACTAGTGAGTCAAAGTCCTTAACACCACCCCTTGAAGAAGCAATATAAAGTCTGGGTCTTTGCTCTCTATAGCACTGGTTCTTCTTTGAGACTTCTTCAAGATATTATCCTCACTACCATCCCTTTGTTTCATAGCCATAACCCATAGTCATTTCAATCATCTTTCGCTTCCATATCTCATTTAAACAGCCCACCTATTCACTCATACGTTTACCACCCTTAACCATCTCTTTTTGAGTCATTCACTTGTACAGGTTGTTTTTTCCTTCCTAGATCCACAATCAATTTGTTAAGATATAAGTGTCTTACATCAAGTGGTATCAGAGCTATTGGTGGAAGAAAGCAACGTGCAACAACAACAAAAAGAAAAATACAAAAAGAAGTGCAAAGTCAAAGAAATCAAGAAAAATCAGAAAACAAAGTGAAACACTCAAAAGAAAGAAAAATCCAGCACTCAAAAAGAAGAAAAGCAAAGAAAAGAAGAGAAAGAAGTTGAATCACTCATCAACAATTCTCATTATCAAGCAAGTAAAGTAAGTCGTTTAAATTGATTGTGGTGATAGAAGCTTTTAAAGTGACTTGTGTAAGTAACCCCCTTTTGTTCTTTTCTTTCTATTTCTAAGCCACCCTTTCATTATATTTGTTTTCCCTTCCTACTAACCTTTTTGCAACCGACGCCAAACAAGTAAAATTTACTTGATATAGTCTTGAGTAAAGTTC